GCTGGAAACTTGATTGTTGGTGAAATCCTCTTAATTCCCTTCTCCTTCACCCTTGTGTGGCCTCATGTGCTGTCATCTTCTCCATGCATGAAACTGTTTTAAAAAAAAACAGGAATTTGCAGTCTCCAGAATATTCTCATTTCTGACACAAAAATGGAAAGTGCTTGAAACTGTTTTCTAGAAATACATGAGCTGTCACTGATCATGATGAAGATGTCTCAAGTGTTCTTTTTCTAAAGTACAAAAAGTAATAAAAATACTTTGTATTTTCAGGGTTAGTCATAGACTCTTTTTGTTCTTTTTCCTCTCCTGTTGTTTTTCTGTTTTGGTTTCAAAGGACCATTTGTCAGTTTGCTGAGAATAATCCTTAGACTTGTTTCCATCTTTCTTTAAAAAATTATTTCTTTTTAAATCCATATAATAAATCAGAAAAGGTTATTCTTTCTCTGTGTATCTTTTCTACTATTTAATATTCAATGCTTTTACTTTCCCAGTCTCAAACCTTTCCTTATTTTGATCTCATTCTGGCACCACTTTGTTTCCTCCTGTGTTTTTCTATTCTGATATGCTTTTCTTTTTCCTTGTACAGATATTTTTAAGAGGTGGGACTTATTTAGTCTCAAAATGTGTGATGGGTTGTTTGAGAGGGTGTTCAGATGACAGTCATTTCTAAGTTACCTTAAAAAGGGGGGTGGTTTAACAATCTGGACAGTATAACTTGCTGTCCTGCTCAAAGGGGAATCACAAAATTGTTTTCCCTCAGAATTATACTATGGTTTGCACTGAAGGCCAACACATGTACCATGAACTGTGGTTTTGCAGTGTATGGTCGGGTAAGCAGTGCTGAGATGGGGAGTGAGAATTGGTTATTTTTTTTACTGTGAACTTCTTGGTGTTAGCACAAGGGTTATGTGCCAGAGATGCACATACTTCACCTATGGCTATAAAACCCTGTTTACTTTTTTTGTGCAAACACAAAAGCCAAGTGGGAAGGGATATTTCATAAACTCAGTGCTATTGTGTCCTCTGGTCTAAGCCATAAAACAAGAGTAACAGAGACGTTCCCTTTGAACTTGAAATCCCTTTCTAAGCTGCTGATCTAACCTAAGTGAGAGGGGGAGACTGTACCAGCCAGAAAATTTCTCTTCTGGGTATTTTTCCCTTCCCACCCCTTTTCTTTTTTTAAAGTCCTTAAGTGAGTTTGATGCTGCACCTCTGCCCATAAATTTAAAAAAATATTATCGTAATGTAGGTCAGTGAACTGAAACGCCACTGTACACCATGGGGGATTAAAGTCAGAGAGGCAACCCTCTCCCACTCCTGCTAGGTCATATGACAATATAAACAAGAAATGCAAGGAGCCTTCAGCTTTTTCTTGCCCTAATCCTTTGTTTATGCAGCACTTAAACTGACTTTTGGGGTCGTCTCTGTCTGGCATTAAAGCCCTAAAGCTTTTTGAAGTTTCCCTGAAGTTAATAAAATTAGTCTGCCCTCGTTGCTAGGCCCCTTGCTGCTGCTTCAGAGCAGACTGCATATCCCTTACTGTCTTTGTGGCATTTGGCTTTCTAAGTTCATAATATTTTATACCAAAAGAAAAAAAAAGAGAGAAAATCAGAAAACTCTCCCAAAAGGCTACTCAGCTAATAGACCAAATGATTGCCATTGTAGATGTTCTGAGAACTCAAAGGGGATTAACTTAAAATCCCACAATTGGAGGTAAATTGCTGGTAAAGTAATTGGAAGTGTTGCGTTTCAGTTAGGGAGAACAACATGCATTTCTCTGCCTTTTTACAAAGCAAGGCTAAACCAAAAAATTAATTTTTTAAAAATTTTTCTAACATTGTCTTTAAGTTGAGAAAATGAGCTTTGCTTCATAGTAATTCTCTCCAACAGTCATTTATTTCAATGCAAAGACTGATCAAGTTATCTTTGTTCCTGTTACAGCAGGCATTCTCATGTTATTTAGTCTTTGTCAGGGATAAACTGATGATAGGATAACTGGAGGGGATGGACAACATAGGATGGGGTATATGATATTCAATGCACGAGACTGAGACTTCAGGTCATAAAGGTTTTATTCCAAACAACCACTCAGGCAAGTCACTGATCACTTATTGCTTCAGCACCACTAAAGCAGTTTTGTTTCTAATGGCTTATAGAGATGCCCAAGGAATCGTGGTGTTACCAGCAGAACATATTGACCACTTGAAGGAGGGGGTTTTGTTTTAATGAGTTGACCATTAGAGTGAAAAGAACAGTGCAACTGGAGCCCTTGGTCTGTTTCCTAAACTGAATGTACAAGAGCAAGATCCTAAAAAGCACATTTCCTTATAAAAGACAAGGGATTTTTTAAAATCAAAGGTTTTAAGTGAGTGTGCCAGAACTAAATGGTAATACATTGTGTTGCTGTTCTAATCAGCAGTTGTAGGTTGTCATTACTGTTTTACTCAAAGGTCTGTGATGACTGTAACAGTTGTTCACAGAAATCATTTTAGTTGCTGAGGAGCCTCCTCCTTGCTGGGGAGGCTCTAAACTGAACCATACTAGTCCAGTATGATTGCTCACCCTGTAATTCCATATTTAATTAAGTTAAAGATAACTTTGAAGTGCTCTTGGAAAAATAAAAGATCTTTATGTGGCCTTTTAAAGTTGGCTTCCTGTGCCATTTTGGGAGATAACTACAAAAATCATAGTTATGTGGAAGATCCTCACTGGAGCATAAGAGACCATCTGTGTTTCAAACACAGGGGAAAGAAGCACATGGCAGACAGTGGAGAATAGGGATGGAGTTTTGAAATTCTTGTTCTAGGAATAAAAGGTTTATAGGGAGAAGTAATATTTTTATTTCTCCAGCTAATGCAACTGGAAAAAAAAGATTTAGAGAATGTAAGTGCTTCTTCAGGTTGGAATTAACAGCTTCGTTTTGTGCTACTCTTCTGTTTCAGACCCAAAGACAGGCGAGTGTGCCTGAAAGCTTATCTTCCCCCTCTACTACCACCTATTATCAGGGGCTCTGGTAAAAGACATTATTCAGTTTTAAATTTAAGCCAGAGGTTGCCAAGCAGTGATACTACCATTAATGGTTCATCAGCTATTTTGAAGCAATGGGAAAGGACAGACATGATAAAAAAATACAAATGTGACCTTTTGGGAAAAGATGAGGAGTGGATGTTCGAGCAGAGAATGTTGTTGAGACGTCTGAGTGCTGTTTCCTACAGGTTTGACTGTACCCAGCTTGGAGTGGAGCTGCCTGTCCTGTTGTCATCTCCATGTGAAAGAAGGAAGAGGGACTGTGGATACTTTTCATCCTGGATGTGGTCTGGGATAGGGAGAGGTCTTGCCACTGTGCTGCAATACTGCATAACCCTTTCAAGGCTGTTTATAGCTGAGCTAGTAAGCTCTGTTTAAAATGAAACAAAAATTAAATTTCTGATACTCGGTTTACTACCATACTGAGATTGACATTAAAATAGAGGTGTATATATGTAGCAAAATAATAGCAAATATAGGGATTTGAGTCTGTATATGCATTACAGTTTATGGAGGAGCTTCAGGGAAGGATAGTTGCTTAATAAACCAGCAATACTGTGAGTCACTGTTAAAACTGAATAAAGGGGAGTGTTCTAAACTGGTTATAATTTTTCACTGTTCTAAGTCACTTTGGTCTTTGAAACCCTTAGGTGTAGCTAAAAATGACTCCTAAGATACGAAGAAGAGCTGCAACTTTTACCACAGAAAATAATCTTGGAAAGATTTAAGTAATATCCCCATATTTCTTCCGATTAAATAAATGTTCTTTCTGTGTCTACAAGGTAGAGCAACTCCAGGCTTTAGGTATACAAGGATATTCACACCTACAGGATTAGGCTCACTTGACTGCACCTTATACTTTGTAATGCCTAAGGGAGGGTTGTTTATCTTGCCTTACCCACCAACATTGCTGCCTCTTGTTCCTGATAGCTTAATTAAGAATTCAACTTGGAATGGTTCTTCCCACTGGGTTACAAACCTTGAAATTAAAATTGGATACAATGGTCATAAGGCTTTTAGTTTAACAAATCAATATGTATGTAAAGGTGAATATTTAAAAGACTCCATTTAGAAACTGTCATTTCTTTGGAAGTGTAGCTGTTGGAGTGCAGGTCTGGAGCTAAGAGAAAGAATGTTTATGTAGGTGATAATGTTCTTAGCTGTAGGATAACTAATGGAATAAACTTTTTGTGAACATAGGTACTTAAGTGACTTTCATGGAAAGGTTTCAAAGCAGAAGAAAGATTTTAATTAACTGACCTTTGCAGCATGTTTTGTTCTTCCTGTGTTTTGAGAAGAAAGGTAAAAGTAGAAATATGTTAACTTGTACAGGCTTTTATGGTTTTAGACACAAATTACCTTAAACTCAACAGTTGAGATGACTTTGCTGCCCGTAATCAGAACACAAACTCACAGAGTGTCAGTTTATGCGGTGCTTTATTCAGGGCCCGGGGTCCCTGTGGACTCCTGTCCCAAGACAGGTACCCAAAGACCCACATTTTGAACGCATCTTTTATACTTTTTTCCAAGCAAGGTTACATGATTGGTTTTACATTTCACAGGAGACATAGTAGTTAAACATAAACTTACATATCACTTTGATTATATTCAAGTATTAATCCATTTACCTAACTGTAAACATCGTATAATTAAATCCCACCACCAGATTACATCCGATCTCTAGTTGCAAATTTTTCTTGTCTCGGTTCTACTTGACTTATTGTTTCTTTTTGGTCAGCACAGCCTTAATGTCTAAGCAGTTCCAACTTAGCTCTGACCTGCCCTGACTTGTTTCTGGCAGAGGTCTTTTCAGGCCTATGCTCCACACTGCAACAACTTGTCTGGAGATTTGTTCATTTGGGGGTAAATGGTTTTTAAAGGGTGGTAGAAGTTGCCAAACTCAGAGTATATCACAGATAATTTCTTGTTACTTTATATTGTAGATTCATGAGTCCCTGTTTCTTTTGCAGGTGATGGACGACTACAGTGTGATTGGTCGTTCGCTGTTTAAAAAGGAAACAAACATCCAGATTTTTGTGGGTCTGAAAGTGAAACTGTCTACAGGAGAAGATGGAATAATAGATGGTGGGTTTGGACAAAGTGGTAAATTTAAAATCCGAATTCCAGGTAGGTGCTTATCAGTTAACAGATACAAATTTATGTCAAGTGTAGATGATCTTTCCATATTGCAAGTCTAAGCATTACCAGTGGTCTCCTGAAGTTTTGAAATCTGCTCATACCCGGTTGGACCACTGATCCGGTGGTACCTCTCCTAATTAAATGATGGTGGCTGTGACTTATATTGTGAGACTCAATGGCCTGAAGCCACATCTCCTGAGTCAACAGACTTGGGGCTCAAAATGACTTCTTGTTAAGTGGCAGTAACATAGAAATCATGCTGTGCCCAGAAAGGTTTGTGGTAATCTCTCCTCTCTTAATGTATGTATGATTTGCACCAGAGCCCTCTGAACAAATAAAGGAAAGCAAACCTGCAATCATTTTTACCTGTAGCTACTTATTAAATATAGTATATTGGATGTGAGTTCCTTAAATTGGCTCTGTTCTGCATGTTATTACCTAACTTGCCTCAAGCAAAAACTGCTTGATAAATGGCTTTTTGGACATCTTGAAAGGTTTTTTTTATTGCTTGTGTCTCCTGGTTTTATGATGTTATATATGACTGTATTTTTCATCCTTGGTGAATTACAGGAAGGATTTATGCCTCCTTAGGTTAGAGCATGGGAAATGATGGGTGCTAGAGTTTATAAGTGTCATTACTGGGTTTTTTTCCTCCTTCTTCTAAGGCAGGAGAGTCGTTCTGAGCCTTTTCAAAAGGCAATAATAGGTGCTGCGTTTTACTCAGATTGTGGGATAAGATTATATCGCTACTTGGGAGTACTTTTTGTATTTCTGTAGTGTCTTCAGCCTATTTGTCACAAGTTAATCCCCCACCCTCTTTAGAGAGATGAGTGAGATTACTTCTGTTATACAAGTGGAGGAAAGAAATCCTAATATTCTGTGACAGCAAACAATCACATAGCAATTGATCTACAGAGAAAGGTAAAGTTTCCCGATTCCCTGCTGGAGAGGGACTATTTTTCCATTTAACTTGGGGCATGATGCAACTGCACTCATTTTGATCCTCTGCAAATTTCCTTTCTTCTTCCTATCACAAGATAATTCTTCTGACTAGACAAAAAATTCTGTATTCTAACCTAGCTGTAATTCCAGTTTTGTCACCAAATGCTAGACTTTGCAAATAGGTCTGAGACCCTAATTAGTAAGCTCAATGCATATTTAAAGAATAATATTTAAAGTAACCATAACCACATATATGATTTTATTTTTCTAGCATAGAAAGGCTTGTAAGGGTTCACTGAGGTAGGTACCTTTAGGTAGGTGGTGAAATAATGTGTAAATGACCTTAATGCTGAAAATCAAGATAATACCTTGCTTAAAAATGTAATGTTCTTAGTAGTTTTCCTCTCCTCAAGGCAAAAGTTTGATGAAAGAGAAGAACAGGAGGATGGCATTTACATTGCCATTTCCACATTTTGGATGGAGGAAATGGTTCTTCTTGGGACAGGGAGAAACCTCATAAGTAATCTTTGCCACTACTGAGGATGTGTAAGCAGGAACTGTGATTGTGAACCAGCAGTTACATTAAGAAAATTGTATATGGACTTAGAGAATGGCATTTAGCTCTGTAGATTGAGTTTGTGGGAAGAAATGATACCTTTCAGAGAGGTGTTCATTATCTAATCTTGGTTAGACTTAACAGGAGACCTTGAAACAGAGGACCCTTTATAGTTTGTTCTTTCAATGAGAAGAATATGTACCAGAATGTTAGAATTTAATACCTCTCTAAGGTAGGCAGAATAATACAACTTAGTTTGCTTTACTTTAGTCTGGGTCAAACTTGGGTGCTCTTGTTGTCTGGAAAGAAAAGGCAGTAAGTTAAATTATCTTAAGCTAAGAGGTATCAAGCAATGGGAAAGAAGCACAGAATTTGGAAGAGCCTAAAACCCCACGTCTTTAAGAGTTGCAGAGATCTGTGTGTAGGGGGAGGGCTATTGCTGTGATGCTGTTTAAGTCAACTGCAGTTCACATTCCTTTGTTAGATCAGCGTTGCTTTTTTAATGTGTCTGCATCCTGTTTATGGGGTTTTGGTGTTTTTGCCTTTTTTTATAATTTTTTTTATAATTTAACTTATCAGGCTTTTCTCTCCCTTCCCCTCCATTCTTCATCCTTGCTTTCCTTCATACAGTCTCTTACAGATTTATTTTGTGAAGATCTCCTTTTAATTTTTCTGAAGTTATTTCTCCATGATTCCTTCGCAAATGTATCAGGGAGTGGGAGAGAAGGGAGGGAAATGCCCAAGTTGGAAATGTCTTTGTACTGCCTCAGCCTGGCAGTCAGTCAGTCCTCTACTTTAAAACCAGTCTTAACCTCTGGAATTGAGTTGCTGGTTTGAGTAGTTAACCTGGTCATAGCTGATGCCTGGTTTTAGAAACAAACCTCTACATAGCAATAAAAATCGAGTAGATGTATCAGAGATTTGTATCCTGACTATTGAAGGTAATTACAGACCATGGCACGTTGTAGGGTGTTGCATGGTCCCACTGGTGCCAACAGCCTCGAGCACTGTGCCCACTCATGTGAGCAACTGTTGGGCTCCCCAGGTTCCATACTCACTTGGAAATGACTTGTGTTTGCCTGTAGATCACAGCCTGGGAACATTGTCTTATGTTGTCTGTAGGCTGAAACTTGGTAGACCACAACTGGGAATGGCAGAACATGGATCTGTTTCTTATTCTGGCACTGCTTGTGTGCAGCAATAAGTCAGATATTTCTCTCTGCTCTTCTGCTCTGTGAAATGGGGATAATTACTATCCATTCTGGAAAAAGACAAAATAATGCAATCTCTGATTTAGATTTATTCCAGGCTTGGAGCATTAATATTTCTTGAAAAGGCTTAATTATCTTTCTTTAGAGTACAAAAAAACGCGTCTAGAGTACAGCATGCAATTGGAAGTTCTTTAGTTGCTGAAAGATGTCAGTAGTTTGGAAGAAATTCAGGGAAGAGCTGCAAGAATGCTGGAGAGACTGAAGGGATTGATTTATGAGGGAAGGAAGATGAAAAGAAATGCTTGAAACTTGGCTAAATGATGTCTAAGTGGGAGATATGATTATCTGCAAGTATTTGAAGAACATCCCTTAGGGTGGTCCAAGGAGGTGGAAGCAAAGCTAATAGCATGAAATAAAGCAAAGTGTAACTTGACTATTGAGAGATGTTATTTAGCAGAGATTTCTTGCTCTGCCAAATCATCTTTGCACAGGAAGATGATGTATTCCATGTTGAGAACAGTCGTGTGCAGTTTGCCTGGACATTTGTTAGTGCTGGTGTCAGGGTAAAACAGACAGGCAGCAGCATGGTGAGTGGAAGAAAAATGTACTTTCATCTCACTTCTAGTTTTGTGTCCAGACATGTTTTTATTGCTTGAAGGGCAAGGTATAACCTACTTTCTAGAATGTTTACAGCAGCATCTAGTTTTTTGGGGTTTTTTTAAAGTATTTGCTGGCAGATGGGCTACTCTGTAGGACTTGGTTGTGGACCTATTCGTACTTTAACTGAGGACAGAGTTTCAAGGCCTATTAATTTACAGGATGATACTTCCTTTCCAGACTTGTTGTGCGATCAAATGCATAAAAAGGAGGACATAATCTCTAAATTGCAAGAGGGTTTTACCTAAATTAACAAGCTGCTTAAAAAACAAACAGGATTTGAAAGGCAACTTAAAGTACACTGCTTTTAAACTTATGCTAGTGTGTGTGTGGATGAGGGAGGGAACTACTGATGCTCTTGGCCAAGGTGGGTGATATGTGGCAGCTGCTTTAGTTGTAAATGGAGCACTGCATAAGGTAAGTGAGGGAAAAGGATTGTTCAAGAGGGAACTGTATGTTCTGTGTCTTACTCTAAAGAAGATAAAAGCTAACAGTGACAGTCTTTGGACAGTGCTTATTTCAACATACCTTGCACCAAGGAATGTTATGCCAACTGATGAGAAACTTAGAGGAAAGTTCAGTGAATCACTTGAATAACTTAGTGCTCGTTGTAGTTTTTGTGTAACTGTCTCTCACCCAAGAATTGATGCTGTAAAACTCATGTAAAATCATGATCTGTTGATGTGTCTCATGACATCTTTTGAAAGATTGGCTCTAGATATGCCCATTTCATTGGTTTTGGCACATTGCATTTGTCTTGTGCTTGATTAATGTAAAATTAAATCTTATTGGAGCATATGTGATATGTCAGGCATGGTTCACTTTCCTGTCTGTCTTTACTGTCGAACTGCTGGTGAAGTGTTCATCCTTTCTGAGGCACTGCAGTGTGTTTGACTGCAATTCTCCTCTTCTCTTTTTGACAAAAAATTGTTATACATGACTAGAGTTAAAAACTACCTTATTTCTTAATGCGAAAGAAGCAGTGCATATCTAACACTCGTAAGAGCTGAACACATTTCTCAATTGAGCAAATTTAAATGTAATAAAAGACACACTTTTCATAAGAAGAGATACAAATGAGAATATTGAAAGACAAGCTTTCTGGCTTTGCTATTCTTTTTACCCATACAGGATAACAGTAGTTTTAAGTTTCTTAGAACAGGTGAAGATGAACTTGTTTGTGACCTTGTCTTTTGTTGCCAGTAACTTTTTGCCTTGCATTTATAAGTGTTTCTTGTATATGAGAGAACAAGTCTGTCTCCTTGTTTCCCCTGCTAGTCATGGTAGAGGGATTGAATGTGCCTTAAAAGCCTGAAGTAATAGCATGGATGTGCTCCCTAACTGAAGACACAGTGTGTTGGTATAAGATGACATAAAGTGGTGAGAATTGAGCAATGTGCCTTATTCTTGAGAATCCCTCGTGTTCCTGAGTGTGAAATTAAGGCTGGAAATGCTGAATGTGTGCTTCCTTCTTGTGGAAGTGGCACATCCTTGGTGTTTTTATATTTTGCCACTTTTGATTGGATGAGATCCCATACTGGCTTGCAAATTAGTTAATGACATAGTGGGAGAACCTTGATGTAAGATATGCATGTGAACAGCACCACTCAGCATAATTTCAG